AGTTATCTCTAGGGTTTGGTCTTCTCTTGTCTCTATTGCCATCAATCATATCTTGTTATCTCTTGAATCTACAATTAAGGATGTTATGAATGACTGAGTTCTAATTCATACATATTTAAAATAGATGGTTGCTACCAGGAGAAGTGCTTCGCATGATGACCAAAGGAATCTTGCCAATTCTAATCCACCACCACCTAATCTCCCATCTATAGAGCAAGCTTTGATGACGTAGACTCAGTTAATATAGACTATTGCTCAAAGTGTGTTGAACCACCCACATCAAGCACCACCTATTGACAACCGTGGTGAATTTATGAAAGGACACCCACCGACATTCTCTCATATAAGTGAACCACTAGAAGCCGATGATCGGCTTAGAGTCGTGAAGCTTATTAGCTTGGACATAGCTCGGTGTGATGACCATGAGAAGGTGCTTTTTATGTCCGCCAACTCTGTATGCAAGACAAGACTGTGGGAGTCTTACCAAGATGGATATCCCAACAATGTTTGGATAGATCACCGGAAGGAGTTTAGCGAGAGTTTTAGGTCCTACCATATTCCGTTAGGTGTGGTAGAACTCAAGCAAGATGAGTTCCACAACTTGAAAGCAAGGATCTATGACTGTGTGTGAGGATCGTGACATGTTCACTCAATTGTCACACTATGCTCCAAGAGAGGTGGATAGTGATGCTAAGAAGCAAAACACTTTTTAAAGGATCGAATGATGGTTTGCAACTTCACTCATGACCGTGGTGTATGCCGCTACTATCGACGCTGGTGGATGTAACAAATGTAATTGAGAACAAGGCGTCGAGAGATGAAAGAGAAGAAGAGAAAGCTTGACATTCAAAGCACTAGTTAAGAAACACTCATCTTCGCTTTTGCTACACAAGCCAGCAATATCGGTCCATGCCCTATGAATTTGCTTGGGAGTACAGATCGATCGTGATCCGCAACCCAATGATGAAGTGTAGCATTTTAGTTCTCATGAGCCATGTCTGTCACCTCCTACTATCACCTTGATGAAGACAAATACTTCTACTAGTGAGGAAGATTATGATTATGGTGAAATTGAACACCATAAGAACGATTGTCTTGAGAAGCTTGCTAAAAGTAATCAAAGCCGTAATCAACGACTTCAGGAGCTAGAATGTAATGTCCACAAGGAGCATGGAGGTACTATCTACTTGGGCATAACAAGTGACATTTAGGTGGATCACAAGAATCTACTGGGACATCTTCACTAAGTTGGTATTGAGCTTGTGTTATCCTCGTTGGAATTAAATTCATTATGACTTAGAAAAGTGCTATCACTTCGAGGAGCAAAGTCATGGCTAATGCCCTCTTCGCGATCGCCAGCGAGCTCCTCGCCGCCATCAATGGAGCTCCGCTGCCTGCAGCACTGCTCCGGCCGGGCGGCTCTCCTCTCCTCCTCCTCTTCTAACTGGATCATCCATCTTTGATCCAATGGCCTAGATTAGGAGACACCCCTTTGGCCGGCTGAATTTCCAAAAGAGCCCCTCTCCTTCATTGAAATCAACCCATGATCCAACTATGTTCTTAATATTTAGAAAGAAGTCCCTATTTCTTCTGTTTTCACCCCCGCCTTTTCATGGAATTGAACCTACAGTCCTTGGCGGTTTAAAATCAGATTTTATTTATTTTAAATTCAAAATCAAGTTCCATCTATTTACAAAATTGCCACTATCTTCATTAGGCCATAAAATCTCCGCTTTAACTCCGATTTGACCCATTCAAGTTACGTTAGATTCATAATGGAGTAATCTACATGTTTATCTTACTGTTAAATATATTTTCAACTTTTGAAATTCGAGGTTAGATTTAATCTATTATTTTATTAAAGGAAATTTTGTTTAATTCATAACTTTTTGTTATAGCTCCTATTAGAGTCCTTTTCAGATTCGTGTGTTCAGAGCGAGACGTAGGTTCGTTTTATAAACTTTTCATCTTGATTTTATGTTTGGTGTACTGTTCTAATTTAGATCTATTGTTTGCTTCGTGTATGATTGCATGGACGCTTGTATGGTGCTCTATGATCATGTCCAATTGGTGAGCTTTGCGCTGGTGATATAAAAGAAGTGGGTAATCCGTAAGAAGTCCTTTGGAGGTTACAATTCAATAGAAGAAGGATCTCGAGTTTAAGGCAAGTATAGCATGGGATCTTCCTTATTGTTCTATACACCTTTAATACTTTAATTCATAATCGCATGTTTCTACCTTGACTACCACTAAGGATTTCCTAGTACTTTGTACCTTATGCCTTGATACCTATGGGATATTACATTGGGTAGTATGATGCTAGTGCTCAATTACAACCATGATCTTGTAACTTGACTAATATTATATGCAATAAACACTAAAAGATGTTTTTTAGCAACATAGAATCAAGGGGCTAGAGCATTGGGCTGTTTTATGGTACTCTAGATTTCTCTCCTAAGAACTTATCTCAGTAAGTGATTATCCGGGACTTACAAAGACAATCTGTAATGGCTACATGGCTCTAGCTTTAGCTTAGTATAAGGACCTTTTCGAGCTTGTTAGTGGTTATCTTTATTGGGCGTAAGAATGGCTTGACGAATTGGGTATAGTGTGGCATCTCCCCCTTGTGTATAGGCTACATGCGCCATTGTGCCATCGGGAAGAGGGGCTCTACATCTATTTGCCGAGTGAATCTAATGGCCCTAACTTGTTAGACGAACTTTAAAAAGGCTTCATAGTGAACCCCGCCGACCTTCCTTGGAAGTGAGTCAAGAGATTAGTTACCTCAAGGCGAAAAGGGTAAATCATGACTCATAGTGAAAGTGTACAACCTCTGCAGAGTGTAAAACTGATATATCAGTCGTACTCACGGTCACGAGAGGGCTTGAAACATTTACAGAATAGATGAACATTAATGGTTAATGATGATGAACACTGATGATACTGATGATAAAGATGTTCACTAATGAATATTGTTTATGCTATTCATTATTCATGTTTTTTTGATCATGTGTTTATGGGCTTATGATAACTTTGTTGCCACCCTATTGCTAAAATCATGACTCAATAAAAGCTAATCGCAGTTAAATCAGTGTCAACCTTTTGAGCCTCATGAACCCCACGTTATATTTGTTGAGTACGACATGTACTTACCCTTGCTTTATTTTTGACATATTTATAAAAAATTTCGGATAGGTACCAGATTGCCTGAGTTTGGAGGAAATAGGCTTGTGATCTAACCAGACAGTTGTCCCTGTGGAATTGAAGTCTTCACCCGAAGATCGGAGTTATCTTTCCACTGTTTGCTATCTAAGGTTCTATTTTTTATACTAAGTACGTTATATATTGAGCATTATCTATTGATATTACCTTTTTTTAGCTATATGTGATATTTGACTTTATGTACTCACATATGGTGTGTATCTGATGTTTTGTTCTTAAAATTAGGTGCTACAAAGATCGTCGCTTTGGCCCCCCAGTCCCCATGCTGGGCGCTCCATTCTTCTTCTTGGCGTCGGCCTTACACCAGCATGGCCCGGCCGTCGTTACAGCCTACTTTACGGCCGCAATGCTCTATCAGCTAGCTGGCAACATCGCCCAGGCCTGCAGCGCCGCGACCTCCACCTTGAGCTTCCTCGTGTGCGCCTGCAGGTTCTTCACGTACACCACTGCGTCGTCGATGATGGACGCCTTGTCCATCTGCATGTGTGCGATGATCGACATGAATCAAATGTGTATGTGTCGTGGAAATCATGTAAACCATCTATCGATCGAGCTCCTCAACGAACGAACAAGCTCCAAACTAGCTCCAACTCCATCTTGGAAGAGGCGGACGCCTCGCTTCGGGCGGTCTGGCGTTGCTCACCGCCTCGCCCGCTTGAATTATGCGATCCCCTTCCTTTCTGTCTGCGCCATTGGTTTTTACTTAGTACAACCTTACTTCCCACCACTAGTTGATAATTTGTGTTAGGGGAATTCCACAATGTTATTAAAGATCGTAATGCCACAATATTTTTGAAAAAGTTCAGCGGTCTTGAATATCCCTTCTCAACTTTTTTTTTGCCCTCCATTCCACTTATCGGTTTAGGCTCTAGCGATCATCAAGCTGCAGGTTGAAAAAACAATACCCTTAAGTCTAAATATGTTATTAATTTTTTTTGAGCATCTTAAACTTCAAATGAAAAAACTCAAAACTAAAAGTTGTAGATCTCGTCGAGATCTATAATTTAAATATAAAATTATTTTTATTTAATTTCGCAAAAAAATAATATGATTTTTCTAAGATATATTAATCATATCAAATCATATTTTTTATGTAAATTAAATGAAAATAATTTTTATATAAAATTATAGATCTCTTTATTTAGATCTACAACTTTCTAGTTTTGAGTTTTTTTCATTTGAAGTCGTTAAGATGCTCAAAAAATTAATGGCATATTTACACTTAAGGGCATTTTCGTTTTTTCACACTGCATTGACGGCAAATAGAGCCCAAACCCACGGAAGTGGCATGGAGGGCACGAAAAAAAGTTGAAGCAAGGGCTACCAAGACCGCAAAACTTTTTTCAGGCAATACTGTGGCATCATGATTTTTATAATGGCACATAGGGAATTGTCTCGTTAGGTTATGTGTTCCTCCATGATGTGTATGGCTCTCGCCGTGACCATCAATGGAATTTGTAAAACTTTCCACTCCCCACTTCCACTTAATGAAGCACGTGCCAATGCACGCGTTTTTGAAAAAAAAAACTAGCTCCAAATGGATCGATGATCGGAGCCTAACCTTTGTGATGTTGGGACGAGCGACCTAAGCTCGTAGAGCTTCTCCTTCATGCGGACCCTCCACTTCCGCTCCGACACGATGGTCTTGGACCAGTCCCTCCTCTTCCGCGTCACACCGGACACGTCATCGCCGTCCTCGCGGTGCCGGTGGTGCGGCTCGGAGGCGAGCTCTCCCTCCCCGGCGCCGCCTTGCTCCCCGTAAGGAGGGCCGTCGCCAGTCATGTGGATATGCTCGGTGGCAGACCATCTAGGGAGCCACCATTGTCGCTTGCACTGCCACTACTGGTAGTGATGCTCGTCGCCATGATGCCAGTGCCATTGACATCATCACCATCGGCCTGGCCACCGAACAGCTCCTCGCCCAGCTGCATGAGGCCCTCCACCCACCCGCTGTCATCGGTGGCGCCGACGTGCTCGACGAACAACCCGCCGTTTGGGAAATGAGCGGGGTCTTGGCCGCTGTCGACGGCAAAGAAGCCCGAGCTGCTGGGCATGAAGTGCTCCAAGTGCAGCAGCTGGCGCAGCTGGTGCTCCATGTCCATGCTTCAAGTTTCAAGTAGTGATGGTGCTGATCTTGTTGGAAAGGGTAGGAAATGCTGGTGACCTTGGATTGGAGGCCAAGACCGCAAATGGCGAGCTCGTTATATATATATAGCTCTAGTCTGAAACGGGCTAGGATAACCGGAATCCATTTGTGCCGTCCTCTCAGTAACCACTCAACAAAGACACGATTAATAAATTAAAATAGTTAAGAAAGAACCTTGCTAATAAATTATTGATACTTCTAGCAACTTCTCTGTAACTGAAACAGGTTGCCATGAAGCAAGCCGTCAGCCTATTTATACTATATATCCAAAAAGAAATCCTTGGCGAATTACATAATCAGTAGCCGGCCCGGGATGTTCAAATTAACTAGAAACAGACTCCTCTCTGAAGTATATATAGTTGTGAGTTCATCAAGTTATACTCCCTCCATACTGGTAAAGAAAGTCGTTTAGGACAGCATTTAGCATATCAAGGAGTGGTTAATTATGGTGTATTTTTTCCTGTTTGCCCTTATTAAATAGAGCTACGGGTATTTCCAGTACAACAATCGTTGGCGGATGGATTGGTTAGTGCGCTGTGGCATGAGACTGGAGTAGCAAGCTTCGAGCCCTATTTGGCCCAATTTTTCCATGCCTGATGCATGATTTTGCATGTGCATGGCACTGTGCAGTTGGGCGCTCCGGTTTTTGCCGTTCGTGATTTTGCCTCTCTTTTTTTGCGACCGTTCGTGATTTTGCCTGATGCATGATTTCTGCTCTCAACTTTACCGATGTGTTCTAGTGCTCTGTCTTGGCATCTTTCTTTTTCATCTACTACTTCACGGTCGTCACCACACCAGCACGCCAGCAGAGCCAGCGTACGAGTAGCGCTTGCAGCGGCGGCGGCACCAGCCATGGGCGACGAAATATCTCCGTGGACTCCATAGCGTGAGCGAGCGAAGAAGGCAAGGAAGCAGGAAGGGGAGATGAGCGATCGAGCGACGCACTGAGTCACTGACTGCGGCCGCAGCGTCGCGATTAACGAAGCGAGGCGAGCGTCGCGATTAATGAAGTACAGGGAACAAGGAGCCAGGGGTAAACGCGTCCAAAAGAGTGTTAACAGAGCCAAAACGACTTGATTTGTGCAAATCATCTAAACCCCTAAAACGACTTCCTTTCCCGGTATGGAGGGAGTATATAGTTGTGAGTTCATCAAGTTATTTAACAATCAAAAGTTGCTGAGCGCTAATTATCCATTCCTTGGAGCTTCGCCGAGTAAAACACGGCGGCAAATAAAGCAGCTGTCCTGACTAAAAAATAAATAAACAGCTACTCCATTCATTCTAAATTATAAATCGCTTTGATTTTTTAGGTATATCAATTTTGCTATATATCTAGATATAACATATGTCTAGATACATAGCAAAAATTGTATACCAAAAATCAAAATCGACTTATAATTTAGAATGCACAGTATCAAATAAAGCTTTCAAATTTCTTCAAGTGGTTCCATTTCTCGTGACTTAAGAGCTTTTGGTTATGGGTTGCTAGAATATTCTAGAGAAGGGCATCCAATTATTATTTTAGTAAAATACTACTCAAAATTATAGTTTACTAAATAAAAAAGGCATCGACATCTATAATATCTAATTAGTTTGCTACTTCTTCATGAAATATATTTTCATATATAGTGTATTTATTTCAACTAGTAGATGTTAATAGATTTTTTCCTAAAACATGGTTGTAGTTAGAGAAAATTTAACTTAGTATAAAGCTAAAATTAACTATTGGAATGGAGTGAGTAAATATTAGGCACTCAAAGTGATTCAAAGGATATCCTTATGCTTGATAATTAAACTCAAGTCTATGCATCCTTGTAGATTTCAATGATTATATTCCTAACACAGGACAAGGCACCCGAAGGATCAAGATGCCCAAGAGGAGGTGAATTGGGCTAATTCTAAAATTCTTTTTGCAATAATTAAACCCTACACTTAGCCCACTTCACCCTTGTGCCTAGAATATGAAGCTATAGATCTACCGCACAAAAAGTTTAACACCCTAAGTTCCAATCCTACTCTAGCATGGCAATTCTAAGAATGTAAAGACAAGAATTGAATTGCTCAAATGTAAATGCTTAAAGTAAAGAGAGGAGAAGAAACGCTACATGTTTTGTCGAGGTATCTGAGAGTCACCACTCCCCACTAGTCCTCGTTGGAGCACCCAAGGGGTGTAGCTCCCCTTGATCCGCGTAAGGATCAAGTGCTCTCTATGGGTTGAGTCTTCGACACTTCATCGCAAAGGAATCACCCACAACCGCATACAACTTGAGTTGGGTCATCCACAAGCTCCGGCCACAAATGATCACCAAACTCCCAATCACCACTGCCGTCTAGGTGATGGCTATCACCAAGAGTAACAAGCAAGAACTCTCACTTGACCACAACAAGCCTAATGAGAAGGGTGAATGCACACTTGCTACCTCCTTGCACTAATAAAGCCTTAATCTTGGATTCTCAAATCTCAATCACCTAACTAGGCTCTTACTCTCCTAAGCACTCTCAAGGGTGTTTCTCAGCTGTTGAAATGCACAAGAGACCTCCTTGGATGAATAGAGGAAGTATTTATGCCCCTCATTCAAAACGAACCATTAGGAGGTGAAAACACCACTCAAGGGAGACTGGACGCCCGGGCCGCTTCTCCCGCCACATAGTCATGTTGTGACCAGACTTTACCAGCTTCCGGTTAAGACCGACCGGACGTGTCCGTCACAAAACTCGCTTTCTAGAACCTTACCGATGTTGACCGGACTTAGCACCCAATGTCCGGTCACTTGTCACCGTCAACCGGCCAAGAATCGAACTCGACTAGCGTCCGTCAAGATCGACGGACGTGTCCGATCAGGATTCTCCTCTTCGAACCTTATTAGAGTTGACCACCTTCACACCAAATAGTTCTAGTCACATTTCACTCATCCGTCAAGATCGCATCTAGATGATTTCAAGCTTGATCAAATGAACTGACCGGACTTCATCGCCAAATGCTCGGTCAACATTTGACCCTCCATTCACTTCTAACTCGAAATCATATGTGAATGAAGATTGCTCCAATTGATCTTAGGGCTACTTAAGAGCTACCTAGTGCTAGATTTGACAAGTGTGCACCACACCTAACCCACTAGACTCACTCGGTCAAGCTACTAGTCCATACCCCTTTAATAGTACGGCCAAAGGAAAAACAAAGTCTTAAACTACTCTAAGTGTTTCTTCAACACCAAACTACACTTAAAACTAGTCCATCCTTATCCTTGTCGCCCATCCTTTGAAAACCAAAACGATTTCCATCAGAGGGGCATGACAACCATGATTACCCAATCAATTGCCATTACCATAACCTAACTTAATTGCCTCTATAAAACATACATGTTAGTCATATAGTAATCATGTATTGTCATTAATCATCGAAACCCAACTAGGTGCCTAGATGCTTTCAATCTCCCCTTTTTGGTGATTGATGACAATACAACCTTGAGTATATAAAAGAGATGAGGTTTAATATGTTTGGTTCATATAAGCTTTTGATAATAAGAACAAAAGAGTTAGGCAAGCTTATATGACCTGGGCCAACATGATGTACCTACAGATATGAAATAAGCATGAGTATCGGGAAATAAAGGTCATTTATGCTGAGTAAAAACACGAAGCAAGGCAAATGAGTATAACCAAGTGACATGACATATATAAAGATCAAAGTAGAGAGCACATATGTCACATATCACATAAATATCACATTCACACTTATATAGTTCAATGCATGAAAGTAAACAAGAATGCATAATAATGTATCACACATAAAAAAGCCAAATGAAATAAATGAGCTCCCTCAATATATTGCTCCCCCTATGTGTCTATCATACTGATCCTTCTCCCTCTTTGGCATCAAGCCCAAAATCTAAGAGTCGGCCAATGGGGCCGGAGTAGACGAGTCAAGCGCCGAGGTGCGGAGCTGAGCGATCCGAACTGGGTAGCATCATCCTCTCGATCCGAGCCTGAGCTGTCTCACCTCTCGTCACGGGAAGTGACGAATTGCTTGCCCGGGTTCTACTGTGGGATCGGTGTCATCAGGACTTACAGTATCAATGTAGCGGTGGCTCTGGCGATGCAACTGGAAGAAGAGAGCGCTCTATAGTCCCAAGGATCGGATAAATGGTGGAAGGTCCGGTGATACATAGTTCTATGTGTAGGCCGTCACTCTGCCAACTCTGGGCTGAAAGTAGCAATCGAGGGCTCTCGAGATCGGATGTCTATCACAAGCATCGAGGAACTCTCTATGCCGTGTGAAGCCCATAACAAGAGGTGTGAATCAAGGACCCCGGGTTGGCACTAGTGAAGTAAACCACTAGGGACACCCGCCTGCCTGCCGGTGGAAGCAAATCGTAGTAGTCAAGGCCCTGACTTTTGAAGCTCATCGTTGAAAAGCTAGAGTCATCAGAGTGGTGGTAGGCTAACCAAGCTAAGGTGTGAGCTGTGGGCGGTGGAGCTCTAAATAGCAAAGGACAACATGTCAAAGATAAATCTAAGCAATCGCAGCTCGGAATAAGGAGTTGTTGCCAGCCAAGATGCATGGCTCATCATTGCCATCAGATAGCTCGGTCGCTGCTATCACTAGAACTCATCCTATAGCGGCTCTAACTCTGCAGCAGTGCTGCCGCTGCCTCCCCGCTCCTCAAGCGCAGCCCGATCCTACCTCATCTCGCCAAGAATAGCAAGTAGAGCGTGGGTCTGCCTATGGTGACTATGGTGGAGCCGAATCCGGAGCCATTGGCCTCACTATCATGTTGTCAAGGAGGCATCCGAGGGATAGCCTCGATAATCATCATCTCGAACTATCACTGGGGTCGCCTCGACCATACCTCCTCGCTATGCATCTAGCCGCACCTCCTCGGGCTGGTGTAATGCCCTTTGATGATCTCATCCCACTGAAAGCTACAGTCTTCAGCACCTTGGGTGATG